CTTTCGCTCTTCTCATTCGCTGCCATGCTTTTTCCGCCATGTGCGTATGAAAACAAAGGCACTGCGCATGCGCGTTTTACCCATATTCTATCGCCATATTTCATTTTCTTGTCGTTGCCCAACATTATACCGGTATTACGGTGAACGGTATGATATGGCCCAGCCCTACCACCCATCTTGAGGAGTTTGCCCCCTCACATATACTAATGTGCTACAAACAGGACTTTAATATCACCAACCATTCCCATGTTATTACTGTGTATTCATATAAATGGCCCACCCTGTACATTAGATAAAGCTAACTCTAAAATGTGAGAATTATCTCACACCAAAACAAATGATTTAATGTTCATTTATTACATCTGCAGTCTAAACTAAATGTGTTTGGGACATGTAAAATATAGAATTCAATTAGCTAAACCAACAATAAGTTATTTCGAGGTCCATGACAGCTATGCCAGAGTTTGGGATTTCCCCACCTGTCAAATTTTACTTTAACCCTGGCCAAGTATTACTGACCAATCAAGTTTAAGCAGGCGTTGCTTGTTTGCTTGTAAAAACTCTCTTATTAAGAGGGAAAAAGGAAAACGCATGCTGAAATTTAAACATCAATGATCTGAGGATGGTTACACTTTTTCTTAGCTTTTTAAAATTGATCAACCAAGACAGGTGAACACAACAGGAAGTCTTAACCTGGATATCCGCTGGTTACACACAAAATATTAGACATCATTGCCCAGATACACCAAGAGACCAGGCAATAGTTGACATATTCTTAGAATTTTAGAGCAGCTCTGGAGCTTTTCTGCAGTGATTTGGTTCTAAATGCAGCATTTACAAATACAATAAAAGCCTGATTTTTGTTGCTCTTTAATGGAACTCCTGTATCAGCTTGTAATGTCCTGACTAGACTTCAGCAGTTTTCAGCAGAAGTATATGTTATATTCACTTCTGACAAAATGCATTAATTTAAAAAAAATTATTTGAGGGTCGAATATTTTTGAGTTGTCGTGCATCTAAGTGAGAATCTCTTCAAAACTCAAATCTGATCTGATCTGAGTTCCTCAAGAGCACCCGTAAAGGTCCCCTAAGTTTTTAATAAGATGAACCTAATTTTCACATAGAAAAGTATATAGAATATAGATAGATATCAACATTGCCTCTGTTTTTAGCTTTGAAAAACAAAAAATCATCTTTCCTTATTAGCCTCCCTTTGTTCTCCTCAGTAATCATCAGCCGCCAACAGCGGAGGATGCAGGTGATGCGCATTCGCCAGCGGGATGACCGCTACCGCAACAAGAAGAAGAAGAAGCAGCAACATGGCTCCTCTTCACACCATCAACACCAATCCAAACAACTGCACACGGAGCCCGCCTACCGCCGCAAACCCAACCCTATCCGCCGCTACGATACCGACGTCCTCTCTCCTGTGAGGACCAGTAATCATACTGTTGAATGAAAATTTTTGGCCTTGAAACAAATAGCACAGTTATTTAAAGGAAATAGTCTGTCACTGAATTCTAGAAAAAAATAGAAATCAGTGTGAAACCTTATATAACCATACTCAAGGTCATTATACAATAATAAGATATAGAGAAGACTGTCCTAATTCATATATACTCACCCTTTGCTGACAGATTCATAGTAAAAAGAAAGTCTCTTTGAATTCTGAGGCTTTACATATCATGATAATAATAATCTGATCCAGTATCTGAACAAACCAAAAGATTTCTGTATTATGTCCGTTAGACAGACTAAAGTGAAGATTTTTGGCCATAATGCACAGCACCATCAGTGCAAACAACTCATACCAATAGTGAAGCAGGGAGATGATTTTGATTGTTTTTCAGCCAAGGACCCTGAAACCAGGCATTGTGTAGAATAAATAGGTAACAGTAGGTTATGTGACCACAGTCAAACATTGTTTTAACCAGATGATCAAATTTCCAACACATTTCAATAGCTTAGAGACAACCAATTGGGCAAGTAGTGATTTTGAAGTTATCCTGCCATTTGCTAAGACTGGCAATAAAAAGAAGGAACCAGACTAACTTTATAAACTCTTTGTTCTTTCTAGAGCTACATCCAGAGTTTTAGAGATCGGCAGGTACAGGCACAGCCCTTTCCAGGCCGGCTAGTCGGGGGCTCCCATGCCGTAGTGGAGATGGGCTATGACTGTGGATCCACAACGCCACTCACTGGAGCAGCAGGACCTTCGCTACGGGTCTAACCACTCCAGAACCTCCCAGATGCCTGAACATACCACTTACCCAGAGAGATGTACGTCTCTATAATCACACCTGTGCTAGAACAAACCATTACACACCTAAGAGGATGGAAAAAATATGTAGGGCTGGATTTACCTGAAATGCAAACACATTTGACTGTTTCCCTAAATAAATTTTGGATTATAAACCTCTTGCTGGAGCCACCAGTGTGGTGCCGAGGTTAGCTGACCTCTTTTCATCGTCCAAACGCACAAATGCATGCATGTACTTAACATCACAAAAACCGCAGCTACAATTTTAAAGATTGATGTGGAAGCCCAAAACAACCTGCTGGACTCATCCCCAACCTGTCTGCCACCATCTCAACTCAAACCAGGGATTGGAGCTTCAGTGCAAACCCTCCTCAGGTTCTAACAAAAATAATGAAGATTTGTTGTTAATAGTTTCTACCACTGATGTTACAGAAGCAAGTGGAAGTCGAATTAAAGGTCCAGTCAACATTGTCTTTAAGGGGAGGTAATGACCCTTCACAGCAAACTGAGATACTCTATTTGCTCTCTGTGCCATCCGGACTACATACATCCTCTTTGAAATGAGGAAAGATTTCGTAATTGTCACATTTAAAGAGGGGAAAACCCTTTGCCACCCTTGGTGCTGGACGACACACTACTTCAAGCGGCCAACTGCTCTGAAGGCCAGGGAATCTGTTTAAACGGGTGCCTTGCCCCTCCTTGGACTGTAAAGTTCAGCATCAGGAGAGCGGTTACTGGCAGATATCCCACCAGTGGCTTCTTCTTGCATTAAAAGTGGGAGAAAAAAAATTCAGTGAGGGGTGGTAGCCAGGGAGCTACAAAAAGCAGGGTTAAAAGACTTTTTAGAGGTGAGCTTGTTGTTTTCACAGATGTGTGGATAAATGTGGTTTTATTTACACTGGCACCTCAGAAGATCTGATTTTGCGGATTCTCAGTGCTGGAAAATATAAATCTTGCTCATTTTGTGTCCTGAACTTATTCTCTAAGAGATCAGTTTCACGTGTAAAACAGATTTCTTTTTCACTCTACCATTTACCTTTGTGTAGAACTTGGCAGAGGATGGTCAATGACAGAATAGCTGAATTTTTTTGTTTGTTATGCCATAAAAGTGAAGATAAATTTAATTTCATTTGTTAGACAACTCATTTACCATAATTGAAACAGGATCAAGAAAACTAATGTTATCAGATAAAATAATCATTTATTTTCATTTAATAGCTGTATGATAATGGAGGTAACATAACTGAAGAGTGGCAGAAATTAATGCCAATGTTACATTTTTAGTTTCTTAAATATGAATAATTTAAAAAGAATTTGTTTATTCCAGTTCTCACATAGCTGTAGTCATTATTTACTGATACAATAGTGTTAAGAAAGTAAAAGCTTGATTACAAATAACGACACTAATAAAAACATGGCGGGAATTATCATTGATGTTAGCATGATAGGCTAACTAATGTCAACTTTTTAAGTAAAAACTAGTTAGCGTGCTTTACTATGGAAGGAAATTAGCCTAGCTTGCTAGCATTGACTTTTTGATTCAAATAACAGTTTATCTGCCCTGTAACCAACTTTTGAAAAGAGAACAGATAAAGATTTAATAAGTAAATTTGAGGGTTTTTTGTTTTCTAATGTTCCTTTAACATTTACATAATATTTCAGGGTTATTATAGCTGTTTGTTTGTTCTTTTTATTTAACCTAATTTAACCTGAGCTGATTGAGAGATTGTGTTTCAGGTATTGGTTATTTTCCAGTATAATAAATTAAAAGGTTTTCTCAGTGATGGTTTAGGTATCTGTCAAACGAAATCTCAGAAATGTGCCTGTTTGCACCTTAGACAGACCCAGCTGAGGTGCTAGTGTAAACAAAGCTCACAGGTCTGAGTGACAAAATGGACTAATGGCCATAGAAACTTGTATTTAGAGCAACTCTTTCCATCATGTGCATTGACCTTCTTTATTTGGGAAAACATAACATTTTTGTCACCAGTGAAAATGTGAATACTTTGTTATTGTTGCCGCCTTTTTAAAGGAAAAGCAGACACGTGAGTGCGGAGGGGGGGTGTTTCTATTTCTCACCTGACATGCATGATCTCACCCCTCCGTCCACCCAATCCTGTGTGGCACTGAACACCCTGCACCCTTTCATGTACATCGATGTGAAATTTGTACATAAAAAAAACACAACACTTACTACCTTTTTTGGGTGGAAGTGGGATTTTTTTCCCCTTTTTTTTTTACCATTTGATTGTTATATTTAAACACTTTCTTTTCTTAAAAGTCACATTTAGTGGTTTCTTTCGAGTGGGATGTATTTATTTGTTTTATTTAATTATTTTCTGTAAGGAGAGTGCAATCATCACTGTAGGCCAGTAACTCCATGCTTTTATTAAACTGAATTATGACTATGATCATTAAAGCATGTGTTCCAATGGGCCTGTGTACAATAAAATGTAAAATGATTGGTCTTTTAAAGCAATGCCATGTAGGCATGAAACATAGTCTATTGTTGGCTCCCTCATTTCTTTCTTTCTGCCCTTTTCCTTAACATCTCTCATATCGCTCTTCTGATCTTTAACTTCATCTCCAGACACCTTTTATTCTTCTCCTCCTCCTCATCTGTACATTTTAGTGCCGATACGCATACACATACAATTTAGCTCATCCTTTATATACTATACTATTTGCACTATTACTGTGGTAAATGCTTATGGAAAATGGTGTGTTCGACCTTTTAAATTTAAATTGAGGAGAAAGATCTGTTTCTCTACGCTGACCAAGAGGGCGAACATCTGTTGTAAGGAGCTTCCTGTAATCAGAGGTTGTGGATCAAACTATTGTCTTTGTCATCAACCTCCATCATGCAGTCCTCCTCTGTTTTTGTCATATTAACATGTGTAAAGGTGGCCTATAATTGGTGCCTCAGGAATGTCTTTTGGCCGCTATACAACTGTATTAATGTACGTACATCTGAACACTTAGGGGGCATCCAGAAGGAAGTGGTTTGTCAACTTGTCAACTAGGGACTATAACAGCTACCTTGGTTGGAATAACTGCTGGTGACACAAAATAACCAGGTCCTGACTCGCCAATAAGAAAAATAGATACAGTTGATCGACATATGACTGGGTGGCAAATACGTTAAAGGGTTACCTAGGCAACTGGAGCCTAAGATATGAGTGAATTGCTCACTGTGTGGATGCTCCTTTACAGACTGTTGAGCAGCCTGAACGGGCACACTCAGTACATCTGTGATCAGGGTCGTGAACTTTCCTTTGGTTTCAGAGCTGGTGGTTTGCTATGGGCAGAATTTTGTGCCATAGTTTGCTTTTAGCAGAAACATGTCTGATCTTTCCTTTTGTTAATGTTTATTTAAGAGAATTTCACCCAATCTCTGAGGGTCTTTTTCTTTTTGTACGAGAAACTCGCCGTTTGCCATGGAAAAATATGTATTTTGTGTATGGTTGCGGCAAGTTTCACTGCTACTTGGTAAGCAGGTAAGTATTTGGGTACAAGTGGGTGACTTCCACACAAATTCTGGGCAGCTGTAGAAATCTGCTAGCCATCAAAGCAGTGCTAGGAATGTTTTTGGTGGATAGTAATTTTGTGACCAATTTCATCTTGTGCCAGTTGCTGTGAAATCAGTTGCTAAAGCCAGTCACCTGGTCAGTGACCACTTGCTAGGAAAATTCCAACTGGTATTCCAAGACCATTTGGTAATTTGTTGGGGCAAGTTCCTGGCAGTTAGTTAGTAGTATAAAATGGTAACAGACCAGCACTTCTGATTGCACTGAAGTCCTCCTGATCCTCCTGCAGGTTGCCAGGCGTTTGTGTGGAAGACTGTAACCTGTCTGCAAACACTTCAGGTTTCACTACAGAGTGAAAACTACAGAGCGAGTGTCTGCAGACAAGTCACAATGATCCATGCAAACGAGAGCTGACCGCAGCAGTCTGCTAGTAATCAAAGCAATTACATGGAATTGTTGGTGTAGCATTTTCTTCATGACCAGTTTAGCCCAATTCCAGCCAGCAACTATCAGCAACCACTTGTCAACCAGTCAGGGAATACAACATTTTCCAGTGTGAATGCTCATGGAGATTTAGGTGAACAAATTATTTGAAACATTTTATTTTAACTGGAAAAAACACCAATTTAATCTTCATATAAGCTTTTAATCCAACAACCAAACAAATGTGTGTGCTCATACATACATAGGTGAGT